CTGTAAGGCATTTCAAAGTATTCTTTTCCTAAATAGCCTCCATTTACATTTCAGGCCCCGGTTTAAATATCACATCCTCCAGAGGCCTCTGAACTACTCGCTAGTTTCCTTTGTAATTCTGAGTAACTTTTTTCTTGTTTGTACCATAATTGCAATGTTATATTTGTACCTTTATTTGTTTAATGGTTGCCTCTCACACTAGAATGTGACCTCTAGTAGATATGGGAACAGTTAAGTTTTTTCCATGACTGCCATTGGGGAAGAGAAACATAAGCTAAAATCCAGTAAAGTGAGGGACAGCACAAGAAGCAGGAAAAATTGAGACAGAGAAAAAAAACACCATCTAAAGAATTAAAAGAATTTCAGTCTTTAATTCACTTTTAGTGGAGGGCATAGTGCTTATTAACATGTCTTAATGTCCCCTGATGATAAGGGTGTAAAATGAGTACCCTTAATGAGAGATGTAGAATATAGGGTGTGCAGGAATAAGAACTCTTGTACATCGCTGATGGGAATGTAAAATGGTATAGCCCCTTTAGAAAAGTTTGGCAGTTCCTCAAAAAGTTAAACATTAACAGATTACCCCACTCCCAGGTTATGTATCTAAGAAAAATGAAAACATTTTCACACAGTGATACATCAGTGTGTAGAGCTGTGTTATTCATAATTGCCACAAAGTGGAAACAACCCAGGTCTACCAAATAATGGATACTGCTACTGCTAAGTCACTTCAGTTGTGTCCGACTCGGTGTGACCCCATCCCTGGGATTCTCCAGGCAAGAACACTAGAGTGGGTTGCCATTTCTTTCTCCAATGCGGAAAAGTGAAAAGTGAAAGTGAAGTCACTCGGTCGTGTCCGACTCTTCGCGACCCCCTGGACTGCAGCCCACCAGGCTCCTCCGTCCATGGGATTTTCCAGGCAAGAGTGCTGGAGTGGGGTGCCATTGCCGTCTCTGAAATAATGGATGAAACATGGTATATTCATATAAAGGACTATTATGCAGCCACAAAAGGAACTGAAGGATTGATACATGCTGTAATATGAATGAAACTTGAAGGCATACTAAATGAAAGAAATCAGACACAAAAGGCACATATTGTGATGCTGTTTATATGAAATGTCCAGAATAGGCAAATTCATAGATGGACAGATCCAGAGACAAGCTGGATAGGTGTGTAGGACTGAGGTTGTTTGGGTATGGGATTGACTGCAGACGGATACAGGATTTCTTTTTTGGAGTGATAAAAATCTTCTAAATTTAGATTGTAGTGATGGCTGGATAATTCTGTGAATATACTAAAAAACCAGTGAATTGCATTCTCTAAGTGGGTGAATTTTAAATATGAAATATGTCTCAATAAAAATGTTAAATTATAGTCAATCCTCATTACTCACAGTAGTTATTATGTGCTATAAAGTCACTGCAAGCACTTAACTGCTGAACACAAAACTATTGCTTTTAGGGGATACATAGGGTTAGAATCCTGGAAGCCTCTGGTCACATTTTTGCTAACTTATCGGTACATAACTTTGCTTTGTGTTTCTGTTTAAAGACACCTTATTTAAAATATATTACTAACAATGAACTCATGGCCAACAGCACTGTAACTCAACCCTGAACAAAGCTTACCTAAAACTTGAAGTTTTTCCCAGAAGGCACATAGCAGCTTTCTTGTGCTTATTAGGAACACTAGACAGCACTTTAGCACTATGCTTGAGAGCCATTCTAAAGAGTGAAATCATCAACAAAAAGCCCAAAAATGCAAAATATGTGGCATTAAATCGACTGTGAAAAGGATGCTTGTTCACAGCATGAGCTGAAGCAAGGCAGAATGTCACTTTGTCTGACCTTGGCTGGGAATGTGTGCATTGGGGCACTCAAATTTTTCACTGCTTTGCACACATCCATGGCCGACTTCAAAAGCACCAAGAGTATTGTGATTGGGTTACAATTAAATTTCAATGAGCAGGTGAATTTGCAAATATGGAATTTGTGAATAAGGATCAACTTTAGCTTAGTCTATCAAAATGGTTTTTTAAAAACATTTTGAATTTTAAGGTCTAAACTTCAGTCTTCTCATAATACTAGATAAAATGTTGTACATATTAGTAGTCTGTTTCAAGACTAATAGGAAGAACTAGTTTTAGAGGCCTCAGATCATTCTTAGTTTTATCCCTTTAGCACTTCTAGGTAATCATGTTTCATGCTACTGATTCCTGGGTTAAAGACCAGTTTGAAGGCAAAATGAAAATGTTTATTTTAGTCAGCAAAAGTCTAATCTGAATTTCTTATCACAAACGCATGTGATCTCCTCCTAGAAAAAGTTGTCTGTCACGACAGGATGTAATTAGAATATACTTTGATTTTTAAGTAAAAGAAATACTTACCTTGTTGTGCTCATATCTGCAATCTGTACTCCTACTTTCCATATATTTGTAGACACACTTTCACATGGTAGCTACTGCCAATTTTAATTTCCCAAGTTTTTCAGTTTTGCTTCAAAAAATATTTTATGCATTTTATTAACTTTAATTTTAGATTGGCTTTCAAGTCTCAAATCCTCTTAAAACAGGAAATGTCAGCTCTTGCTCATAGCTCCTTGTAAGAGGCTTTTGCCAAATTCAGGAATTTAGAGACACATTTTAACTGCTTTAGGTTATAAGTAACAAAATGTTGACATGGGGAGCAAACTTATAAATGTCAAGTGACTATTACATATCCATATCTGCGAACTTGAATAAGCTCAATCAAATGTCAAAATTTGGCTATAAAATGGTACTATTTTGGATCAGTATTTATATACCCTCTTGGTAATCAAGATTTGTTTCTTTAAAAAGGTCTTAGCTGTTGATTGGAATTGGTGAAAAAGAGTTGGAACTGGCTAATTAACTCAAACTTCCCAATTAAAATAGTGGAGCTTGGTAGATAACACATTTATTCATCAACTCAAGAACTTAAAAGTTTTTTCAAGTTTAAGGTTCTTCAGTCTCTTTTGATCTCTAATAACAACTTGGACATAATAGAGTTTTCAGCTTCTCAATGCCAGATTACTCATTTGACTGGCTCCTCCTGCTCAGAGAACAGTCCAATTAGGTTTCTGTGCCAACCCTAGAAGTTCTGAAGTTTCACCCTTTCTATCTGGCTATTTCTCTGTATGTGGCAGCAACTCCTCTCATGCTGGTTTTTCCCCCACTTTCCACGATTGGCTTCACTTCCCTTTTGTTCTGAAGTAATAACCACCATTTGTTGCTGTAATTTAGTAGGTAAGTTGTGTCCAACTCTTTTGCGACCCCATGGACAGAAGCCCACCAGGCTCCAGTCCATGGGGTCGCTAAGAGTTGGACATGACTGAGCGACTTCACTTTCACGCATTGGAGAAGGAAATGGCAACCCATTCCAGCGTTCTTGCCTGAAGGATCCCAGGGACAGAGGTGCCTGGTGGGCTGCCGTCTATGGGGTTGCACAGTCGGACACGGCTGAAGTGACTTAGCAGCAGAAGCAGCAGCTCCTGCATTGGAAGACAGATTCTTTATCACTGAGCCACCAAAGAAGCCCAATAACCACCATTAGGGATGAGTATATTATCCAGGGTCTTGTATGAAAGTGAAGGCTCTCTCCATTACTATGGATGACCAAAAATAGACCACAGCTTGTATGCCAGGACTTAAGAGTATTTTTTCATTTTCTAGCTGGCTTTTAAAATGTCTTAATTAAAATGACATGTCACAAAATGCCAGTAAAGATTAACAATTGACCTCTGTTAAATATTCTACAAACATTTCCCGGCAGAGCTGTCTTTAAAAGAATTTCAAATACCCTTCATTAAGATAGTTTAAGAATTTATTCTAAGTTTGAGTTGATACAGTAAGATTTCAGACTAATTTAGGTGTAAATGACCTAAAGTCATTTGGATGAATGCTGGTCTTAGTGAACCATTTTTTAAGAGGTCACTTTCATCACACAAAAGACTAAGCAAAGTAATTTTTAATAGCTCATTAAAAAAAGAGGTAGTATTTTAAGAGATATTCCTTATATAATAAGGTATTAGTGAAAATGTGTTCATTTTAAGTGTTTTTTGGCTTGAAACAAAGGTTTATATGAAAATAAAAATGTACTGAGAAATGTGTCATTTTTTAAACATGAAAGATTTCAAATTCAGATAGATTTTTGAAACTTTTTATTTATATTTTGGTCTTACAAATGATCATTTTTAAATTGACTTTTCCATAAGAATGTAAAGCCCCAAAATTTGCTAAATATCAGGTCCACACAAATCCTCAGGGAGGTTTTCTGTGTAGTCTTCATTAATGCAAATCTTTATGTAAATATTTCACTCTTACTGTAGATCTTGAAACTCTTTTACAATAATGCAGCCATAAAGTTTTTATGCAGTGCATTCATTATAAACTATAAATTTCTATTAAAAGGAAGGCTGGGTGATACAAAAATATGAGAGGATCTGGGGAACAAGCAATCTGTTGAGGCTCGGTATGTCTTACTTGCTTTCAAGTTTTTTGTCATTCCTTTCAAAGAGCACACAGCACAGGAGGCACAATAATCATCTCCCTTACTACCCTCCCTAATTTAAAAATCTGTTGTTCATAAAACTGGACCAATTATCACAAAGTATCATTTGCATAATTAACCACAAGTCTATTACAAGGCATTCTGTTACTAGTGGTATCAACAAATGAAGGATGGAAACTTACAAAAAAAAGGGTTTTGTTAACTTCTTACCTATCACGGGCTGCGCTGCCATTTCAACTTTTAATTAGATGTTTAATGCCTCACAGTAAAAGACCGATCAATGGAAGAAAGCAAAACTAAATTATTTTCTAGGTTTTATAGTATTTCACTGGCCAAGGTAACAGAAGGATAGGACAAAATTTAATATTTATATGCGTTCCAACTTTTCACTCAGGAATTCTTCTACACTGTCTGTGTTCCATTTGAGGATGCTTAGTTCTTCAGCAATGTTCCCACTGTCGTCCAAAAGCTTTAGCACAGGGTCTGAACCGCGAACATACTACAAAAAAGAGGAATATAATTTTCTGCTTAGGAGGAGTCTTTTTAAGCTTCAACCAAAATCCAAACCAATTTAATCTAGCTTAGCTAAATTTAATAATAATAAGCTTTTAAAGTCTTTTAGGGATTTCATAAAAAGTAGGGGGAAAAACCCACACTTTACTTTTGAAGAGAAACACTTGCTGGTATCAAGACAATTTTACTTGGGGTTTAAGCTTACCTTTGAATATAACAAGTATTTATTGCATACATGAAGAGAATGATAACTAAGAGCAATGTTAAAAGACTGTGCCTACCAATTATCAGATAATTCTGCACTGGACTTTCAATTTCTTAAACCAGAGAAAATTAATTTTGTTGTAAATAGTTTATAATTTAGTTGGATTCCTAAAACTTCAGACCTACCTTAAGTAGTGGGGTCCAATATTTTGCCAGAGGGCTCTGAGGAATTCTTACTCTGGGTAAGTGGGATAACAAACATGATCCCATTGATTAAGCAATCAATCTTCAATGCTAAATTAAGGACCATGTAACTAGAATGTAGCAGTGATGATAAAGGGAGCTCTGAGAACTTCTTTTAGCAATTATGTTTCAGTTTTTCTAGGTTTTCTAGGGTTGTGAACTTGGGAGATGGAGACAAGCTCTGATGTGATTATTAGCATTGGGTATATTCTCAACCCATTTGTAGCCCTCTAAGCTAATGAAGCAATAACATTACTACCAAAATCTTTTGGATCAGGCTATCTACATAAACTGTGCTTAAAAAGTTCATTTTTTAATTAAAAAAACTCATTTAGTCACAAAATTAGAAACTACATAGAACACAGCTGCAAAAATATTCAAATATTAAATCAAACCCAATAATGTAAAAAGAATCATATACCATGACCAATTTGGATTTGCTCCAAGTATACAAAGCTGGTGCAATATTTGAAAATGAATTAATGTAATCCATTATTACCAACAGGCTAAGCAAGAAATCTTGTATCAACAGATGCAGAGAAAGCATCATGTCACATTCTACAACATGGATGAACCTTAAAGACATTATGCTAAAGTGAAATAAGCCAGTCGTGAAAGGACAAATGCTATATGATTTCACTCATATGAAGTATCTAAAGCAGTCAAAACCACAGAAACAAAGCAGAAAGGTGACTGCCATGGGCTGGAGGCAGGATAGAGGGGAATTAAGTGTTTGATGGTTATAGAGTTTCAGTTTTGCAAGACGAAAAAATTCTAGATCTACTGCACAACAGTGTGAATATACTTAACACTATTGAACTGTACTCTTAACATTTAACTTACCATCCTAACTGCTTTTAAGTTTTTAGATTTTTGACTGCACAGCATGTGGGATCTCAGTTCCCTGACCAGAGATGAAACCTGTGTCCCCATGGGGCCTTAAGTGCTGGACCACCAGGGAAATTTCTTAAAAATTTTTTTAACCATAATTAAAATTTTAAATGGTGAGGAAAAGATCTCAGATTCACCACAGAAGATATACAGATGGCAAATAATCATGTGAAATGATGCTCAATTAGGAAAATGTAAATGAAAATGAGATAACACACTTATTAGAATGGCTAAAATTCAAACACTGACATTAACTAATGCTGATGAATGTGGATTAACAGAACTCTCATCTATTATGATGGGACTGCAACATGATATAGCTACTTTTGAAAACAGTTTAGCTTTGTAAGAAGTGCCCAACAGTCTTACTATATGATTCATAATTTTGCTTCCAGGCAATTACCCATAAGATAAACTTATGTCTACATTAAAAAGTACACAGCACTGTTACTCGTAATTGCTAAAAACTGGAAGCGACCACCATGCATGCCCTTCCAGAGGTAAACAGAAAAACAAACCATGATATAACAGAATATTGTTCATATTATTCAGCATTAGAAAGAAATGAGCTATCCAGCTACAGAAAAGACACAAAGGAAATGTAAATCTGTATCAAGTTAAATCTGAAATCTGAAAAAACTATCTACTATATAATTCCAACTATATGATAATCTGGAAGAGCCAAGACTATAGAGACAATGAAAAGGTCAGTAGTTGCCAGGTGTTTGGCAGGGGGTGGGCTGTGGAGCACCAAGGAGTTTTGGGAGCAGTGAAACTTCTGTATGATATTGTAATGGTGGATATATGACATTATGCATTTGGTAAAACTCCTAGAACTGTACAAAGAATAAGCCCTAATGCAAACTATGAAATTTAGTTAATAATGTATTAATACTGGTTCATCTGCTATAACAAATGTATATCAAGGTAACTGGAGGATGGAGATGGGAGTATATGAGAACTCTAGAATCAATTTTTCTATAAACTTTAAAAATTGTTCTAAAAAATAAATTTAATTTAAAATATGAGTAATTTTTTAATTTAAAAAAAACGCTGTAAAAAAGGATCACATTAAAATTACATTACCTTGATTTGCAGTCCTTTGAATAGTTTGGGTTTATCACTCCTGACGAAAGCTTAAAAGAAAAGAAAAACAGATTCAAATTGTTCACTTCCAGATACAAGCGACTATAAACATCAATACAGAAAGGAGAAATAAATGCAACAAATAAAAAAAATATGGGAAAACCAAGGAAATTAAAACACCTATAAGTAGAAAGACACCCCATATTCTTCAATGGAAAGACTAAATATTTTAAGATATCATTTCAAGTTAATAAAAATCCCAAATTACAATAGGATTTTAAGGGCTTGACAAAATGACAACAGAACTCTATAAGAGTATATAAGAGTAAATGTTTGAGAATAGAGCAGTTTAGAAAAAGTAAAATATGGGAGAATTTGTTCAACTGTTATTTAATGTACAATGTGATACTTATTATCAGAATGGATAAGACAAAGAAGCAGATTAGGAAAACCACAGAGATAAAAACACCTCTATTTTTTTATATGGTAAAAATATCAAGCCAGAGAGAGAGCGAGAGAGAAAAAGAGAGATTATGTATGCATGTGTCTGGGAGTGTGTGTGTGTATTATGCAATAAATACTTTTGAATATCTATTGTATACCAGACAGCAGAGATAAAGCTATATAAAACAGACAGGACTCCTGCTCTTGTGGAGTTTATAGTCTGGTGGGGAAGAAAGATACTAAACAAGTAATCATGTAACTAACTGATAATCTGAATAGTGATAAGTGTTTTAAAAAAAGATTTGGATTATTACCATGGCATTTAACAAAGACAACCTGGATAAAGAAAATAAAATTTTCCTACACATGATTCTAAAGAAAATGATTTATAGGTGTGCCTCTATAAAAATGGAAACACAGTATAGCAAAACACCACTAGAAACAAAGTTAAAAAAGTAAAAATGACAAATTGGGAAAAATTATTTCTAGCAGTATATAAGAGGGCTCCTATTAATAATAATAAAAAATACTAGGTACTAGAATGAACTAAGGACAGGAACATGTAATATACAAATACACAAGTGGTCACTAAACATTTGAAATAAATGTTCAATGAACCTCAGAAAATAATCCAAGAACTGTCAAAACAATGAGGTAACCTTATTTGGAGAGGCAAAAATTAAAAAGAATATTTAAGGTGAGAGAAGGGGTAGAGAACATTTTGCTGAGGGTTAGCTGTGGGAGAAATATAAATGGACACATCCTTCCTGAAAGGTATTTAACAAAAAGAACCAAAGTCTTAAAAATGTGCATATTCTTTAGACCTGCAAGTACCTTTCTCAGAATTTCTTTATTCTGAGGAAACAATGACACTATAAAAGGCAAACACAGATACAAGGTCCTGCTAACCAAGTCTGGAAATCTGAAAATAATCCAAGTGTGTAAAGGGCTATTGGTTAAATAAATTAACACGGACCACTATGAGACACATCCAATCATTTAAAAATCATATTAGTCTATATTTAGTGATATACACAAATGCATATAAAGGTTTATAGATCAGTTTGTTTTCCATGGTTGTTAAAAAAAAGACAGATACATTGTTTTTATATATTTACATTAATGTATTTATATATTTATCTGTAAATATATATTTGCAAAGGAAAAAGCTTGGAAGCACTCAACGAAATCTTTAAAAAAAAATTAAGTGAGAAAATACAAAATACTTAGCAGAATATTCCTAAGAGTTCAAAACAATAACTACTATTTTAATAGGAGTTATATCTGGAGCACAGGGTTTGGAGAAGTTTTAAATAAATGCCTTCCTTTTTGGGTTACTGTTGATCTACATTTTAGCAAGTTTTTTAGTACTGATCATATCTTAACTGTCCAAGATAAAAAATTTTACAATATATTAAAAAAAAATACAAGTAACATGTTTCATTTAGATAACAGACAGTTCTTAATACCCGTTCTGTAATCATTTGCATTAGTTTCCAATTAGATTTTATACTGACAGGCATGTTTTTGAGATCTTTTTTTTTTTTTTTGGCTGCACTAGGTCTTAATTGTGGCATGTGGGATCTAGTTTCCCGCCCAGGGATCAAATCTGGGCCCCCTGCATTGGGAGGGCAGTCTTAGCCACTGGAGTGCCAGGGAAGTCCTGAGAACTTATTTTTTAAACTAAGAATCAACTAGCAATGTAACTATAGATATGTTTCACTATGAAGATCTTTATATATGTGCATCTAGGACAACAAAACAAAAATTAATAAATACTTTTTCTTTTCAAGGTTTTGCAGAACTGTTGGAAGAGATTTAGATATCCCATCTGAATTTCTCCTACTATATTTAGTTCAAAATAAAATTGATTCTACTATTCTGGCTTATTAGAATGTCTTTTCTATTACCTTTATCCTTTCAGATTTGCCCAAAAACTCCTGAGTCCCCAAATGAAAATGAACTTATGATATCCTATGGGTTTTATACCACTCCTTTGGCAAATGCTATAACGCACACTTGTGTAAAGCATCATTTAACACATCATTCACAACTACAAAAAAATATCTCTAGAGAAAAGAACTCCTTTTAAATACTTTTTTCGTATTTATAACAAAAACTATAACTTTGTCTTTCAGAAGATTTTTAACAGGCTGGAATGAGAAATAAATTTAAAAGAAATATTAAGATGAGTTACATAATGACTCATGGAGGGTGAAATAATGACTATCTTCATCTGTTCTTTTCTCCTCTCTCTGCTATGTATAAATCCACAAGCTCCTAATTTTGAATGAAGGGAATATCCATTAAATACACTGTAGTGCCAAAACACATTTTACAGGCAGTAAACTAAACTTTTAAAAGATATTTGAATATTCACTATATACACAGCACTAGGATAGACTATATGAGAATATGAGACTTGCAAAAAACATCCCAGAGTAACTTATTTTTCTACTTTCTGTTTTAGTTTCTTAAAAGATTTTTTAATTTATTTTCGGCTGCACTGGGTCTTCGCCGCTGTGTGCAGGCTTTCTCGAGCTGCGGAGAGCAGGGGCTCCTCGCTGCCTGCAGTGTGCGGTTTCTCATAGCTGTGACTACTTTTGTTGTGGACCAAAAGCTCTCAGGCGCGCAGTCTTCAGCAGCTGCGGCGCACAGCCTTAGCTGGCCCTGCAGCATGTAGGATCTTCCCAGACCAGGGACTGAACTCGTGTGCCCCGCACTGCACACTGGTTCTTAACTACTGCACCACCAGGGAAGCCCTCTGCTGTTCTAAAAATAACTAACTAAATGATATCAGCTTGAAGAATCCTAGAGATTAATTCAGTCACTATTTCAAGAAAATGTTCTTATGCCAATTTAACTATTTGTTAATTAGGAAGGCAGATTTGCAAATAACACTTTAAAGTGATCAAACATACAGAAATGATTAGAAAACAGGTTAAATGATTCAGTTAAGATTCTTATCAGCACCGCATTTCTGCAGCTGCCTAGATTTGTGCAGGGTAAATATTTACTATATACACTGCTTAGAAAGTCATAGACTCTTGAAGAATATTAAAAAACAAAAATCTATCTTCCAAAAGAGGATAAATGGGGATGAGGGGTAATAGGAAGGATATGTCTAGAAATAAAGAAAAGTTTGAACTATTATTTTCAAAATCATAAACAAGTGAAAATATAGAAGCAAAATATACTTGCCGAGATCTAATGATATATCTTTGATCACATTAGAAGCAGTCATACAATGTACTCGATTGGTTTAAAGATTTAATAAATAGGCTTACAGCAGGTACAATTAAGATTTGTGAAGTGCCATACAAAGTTACATGGAATGATAATTAGGTATTTTACTGTTGATTAGAAATAAGTACCTTTCAATCAGTATATATTCTAAACAAAAAGTTCATACCATATCCAGAAACAATAATACAAAGAGAAGAGCACCAGCAACAACAAGAGAATTGAATTCTCAAGTGTGTTCAATGAAAACTACTGGGCATTCATATAATTCTAAAATAAGAAAATTTACTATTGTATACAAACTATCTGGAGTGCAAAACCATGACTTATTTTGGAACAAGACAATTTAAAAGCATTTAAAAACATTCAGAGAGAAGAATGGAACTGGAGGAATCAACCTGCCTGACTTCAGACTCGACTACAAAGCCACAGTCATCAAGACAGGATGGTATTGGCACAAAGACAGAAATATAGATCAATGGAACAGAATAGAAAGCCCAGAGATAAATCCACGAACCTATGGTCACCTTATCTTCGACAAAGGAGGCAAGGATATACAATGGAAAAAAGACAACCTCTTTAACAAGCGGTGCTGGGAAAACTGGTCAACCACTTGTAAAAGAATGAAACTAGAACACTTTCTAACACCATACACACAAATAAACTCAAAATGGATTAAAGATCTAAATGTAAGACCAGAAACTATAACACTCCTAGAGGAGAACATAGGCAAAACACTCTCCGACATGAATCACAGCGGGATCCTCTATAACCCACCTCCCAGAATATTGGAAATAAAAGCAAAAATAAACAAATGCGACCTAATGAAACTTAAAAGCTTTTGCACAACAAAGGAAACTATAAGCAAGGTGAAAAGACAGCCCTCAGATTGGGAGAAAATAATAACAAATGAAGCAATAGACAAGGGATTAATCTCAAAAATATACAAGCAACTCCTGCAGCTCAATTCCAGAAAAATAAATGACCTAATCAAAAAATGGGCCAAAGAACTAAACAGACATTTCTCCAAAGAAGATATACAGATGGCTAACAAACACATGAAAAGATGCTCAACATCACTCATTATCAGAGAAATGCAAATCAAAACCACAGGAGGTACCATTACACGCCAGTCAGGATGGCTGCTATCCAAAAGTCTACAAGCAATAAATGCTGGAGAGGGTGTGGAGAAAAGGGAACCTTCTTACACTGTTGGTGGGAATGCAAACTAGTACAACCACTATGGAGAACAGTGTGGAGATTCCTTAAAAAACTGGAAATAGAACTGCCATATGACCCAGCAATACCACTTCTGGGCATACACACTGAGGAAACCAGATCTGAAAGAGACACGTGCACCCCA